TCTGCCCCTGGGGTTTGCACCTTATCATCAGACTTCCCTGATGTGGATTCCTCGGCCCTGCCCCAAACCAAGAAAGTGGAATCTCCAGGGATTTCTGTATTTTGACAAGAGCCCCCGGCGTTTCTTAGGACCAGGCGCCCCTGGAGGAACACTGCCCTGGGCAGAAACGGTCATGGACTAAGCTAAATCATTCACCAGAAGTGTGCTGATGGCCGACAGTGGGCTAGGCACACAGATGCGGTGAGGAGGCCCCGTCCTCCTGGTCTCTCCATTCTAGTGGGGAGACACTTAGCAAAGAAGGATTCCGAGAGGGATGGATGGCGGAGAAACAAAGCGGGGATGGGATGGGGGGCGAGAAGGCCTCTTTGGGAATGTGCAGGAGGGGTTGGCATGGTGCCTGACACCCGCCATGGGAGCCAGCACGGGAGGTTTTGGAGCTAGGAAGGGATGGGGGTGGGGGGAGACAGGATCAAAACTGTGTCTTAGGAGGACGGATTGGGGAGGAATTGGCCCTAGAAGCAGCAGTTTCCATCCAGAAGCCACTGAAGAGCCCGACCAAGTGACAAGATGCAAACTCGCTCCCGGCCGCAGCTTCAGGGGGACAGGTGTTGGCTCCCGGCCGAGGACTGCTCCGAATCTGGTCCACAGAGCAGCAAGAAACAGTATCACTTGGGACCCCTTGGGAATGCAGACTCCCAGGCCCCGCCCAGCCCTCTTGAGCCAGAAACTCAGAGACGGGGTCCGGCAATCTGCATTTTAAGGAGCCACCCGGGTGATTCTGGTGTCAGCGCTGGCCTGGATCTCTGAGCCCCCAGTGCCGGGGACTCAGATGTCTCCAGGCTGCACACCTGTCTGGTGCCCAGCGACTTGGCGTTCGTATTTATTTCAGAAATACTGTCTGTTTCCATTTTAATAAAGGAAGCAGACTTGAGCAGTACGATATTGGATTTGATTTTGATCTAATAAAAATGCCAAGCAGCTCAGGACCCAGGCAAGTCTTCGCCCAAATTCCCTCTGCTATTTTGAGGGCGGCAGCGGCAGAGACCCATCGAGACGGAATTCCCAGAAGCCACCTCTGCACCCGGCAAGTGACAGCCTCTTGCCCAGCCTAGCCTGGCCTTACAGACACACCTGGCAAAATCAAAAGCTTGTCTCGGGCATTGAACCTGACAGCTGCAATCAGCTGCAAACCCCAGTTGCCCCTGAAGGAAAGATGCAGGCACCTGGACCATATGGCAGCATCGCCTCCATCAAATGTCACATCCGATGTGCTCCCGAGCTAGCTGGTGGCACTGCAAAGCCCCAAAGGCAAGTTTCAAAAGCAAATGCCTTCCTCGGGAAAAAGAAACTGTGGCAGAATCCATATCACAGTAGCCCGAGAGAAAAATAGCGACTCCCGGAGCAGTTAAGATCACCAAAGGTTCATGGAGTGGCTTAGGGAAAAGCGGCCACTTGGGCAGGAGGTGGTGGGAGAAACCTGGAGCCAACAATCGAGCACCTGCTGTATGTAACGCACTGTTCTAGACTCTCAGAATGCAGACGCGAGCAAAACAAGACGGGGCACTGTTCCCTGGACCCTGGTTGGGAGAGACAACCAAACAAAAATCAAGCCCGTAAACATAAAAGGTAAGTTCAGAGAGGGACAGGCGCTATGAAGAACAGAAGACAGGGTGCTACAAGGGCCACCAAGGAAGCTGGTGCGGTCAGGGGAAGCTTCTCCAAGGAAGTGGTCTTCTGGCCGAGCAGTCAAGGTGAGACAAAGTGAGACATGCGATGATTCAGAGGGAGAGCATGCCAGGTGGAGAGTGGCAAGTGCAAAGGCCCTGTGAGGGGGATGTTCTGCATGTTCTAGAAAGAGAGAGGCCAGGGGGGCTGGGGCAGAACGAGGGAGGGGGGAGTGAGAAAAGGTGAGGGTGGGAGTTTGGGGGCCGGAGCAGGGATAGCACTGTACCCGGAGGAAGGGGGAAGATGGCCCCCCGGGCTGGGCTGTATCCCCCAGGGGACCAGAGATCCCAGCAAGTCAGGGTGCCTTTCAGCTCCTCACTTTTTCCACGCCCACAGGGAGAGCCATCACCCCTCCTTCCCAGGGCTGCGAAGTGCTGAGCAGAGACCTGCAAACAGTAAGCCTTTAATAATGTGGGCTCGCTGACGTCCTTCCTCCCCCGTTCCTCCTGCCCGCGTCAGCCCACCACAAAGCCGGAGCAGCTGTTCGGTGCAGAAATATTGCAAAACTCGACCAGGCATTTCCAAAATATTTTCTTGGCCCAAACCCCACTCGCAGCTAAGAGGCTGCATATTCTGGAGATGGCGTTGTCTCCCCAGACGGCCCGATCAGGCTGCCTTTGTCGCCCGTGAGGTCTGTCAGGACCAAGTCCTCGTGTGGCTTGGCCCTGGGTCCCCGCACCCCGCCCGGCGTCTGTGGATGGCTGTGCCCAGCCCAGGAGCCACCCACCGACGTGGGGCGGCTCACCTGGAGCCAGACAGGCTGGGTGCAGATCCCAGCTCTGCCACTTGCTGGGCCTCAATCTCCCTGCCTGTAAAACGGGACGGTGTTTAGGATCGAATTAGTGGATAAATGTCAAGTTCTCAGAACATACACCGGGGTGACATAGTGTCAGCAGACCTGGTGGCACCGAGCTCCTCTTGTCGGCTATTTTTGTAACCTAGCCCAGGAAGCGGTGGAGCTGTAGGACTCTACCAAGTTGGATCGCTGCTGGCCAAGTGCCCCCTCCCTGTCCCTCAGCCCGCCCCCAGCCCAAGCCAGAGGAGGCGCCGCCCCTCTGCTGACACCGCGCCCGCGCTGAGCCCGCTTCAGTTCTGGCCACACCACACGGCCATGCTTGGGCGCTCCCCAGTCCAGGAACACACCTTATTCACCCCCCACGTTCCAGAACCCGGCATGGGCCCAGCCCAGAGAAGCATCTTTCCTAGAGATGTGTTGAACACGTGGAGGAACAAATGACTTTCATGGGACCACAGCAGCAGCCACCTGAGGGTAATTAAAGTGCCTGAAGCCAAGTCCCCCTCTGACAGCAGATGGGATCTTTCCCTTCCTGGCTTTACTTGGAGCCCCCAGTGCCTCCTGTGGCCCCTGGGATGGACAGCCATCCTCCCCCGCTACCCCGGCTGGGCTACCTGATAAAAGGCACTCCCTGGGAGAAGTGCTATGGGATCCGAGGAGTGGGGATCCGCCGAACCTCCGGGGGGCCGCAGACAACCCTCCCAAGCCCCTTCCCCACCACCTTCCATGGCTCCTCTGTGACCCCCAAGGCATTAGGATCTGGCTGCTTCGCCGTCCCTCCCCACCCCAGGTGTGCTCCCTAGAGGATCTCATCGGCTTCAACTACCTCCCTTCCCACCCTGCAAGACCCCTCAACCCCACACAAACCACACACCACGGCCGCCCCAACCTGTCCTCTCCACACCCGTCGGTCGGGGACGCCAGACCCTCGATGGCTGGGGCAAACTTCTGCACCTGACTGCCCCGCCCCTCACCTCCAATCAGACAAGCCGATGCTATGGGTGCCCCCGCCGGGGAACAGGCTGCTGACCTCCAAGTGCGCCAGGGCTCGCCCACCCGCCCCAGCGGAACGTAGGCACCGTGCCCCACCCCCAGCAGCCCTCAACGCCCGAGGGGATCCGCTGTTGAATCTGCAGTCATAACTCGGACACGTGCGTCCTGCACTGGCTGCCCGTGTCCCCCGGCGGGGCTCAGGGTGGTCCCCTCCACACTGTGTCCTTCCCTGACGCCCGCCTCTCCCTGCTTAGGCTGCCTTCCCCGCTCCTTCTTGTGTTTTCTGGGCTCACCCAGACAGGGGCTCGCTGCTGAATCCTGATCTCTGGCTCTGCTTCGGGGAGAACCCAAAGGAAGCCATTCGGACAGTTCTGCCAGCAGAAAGTTCCTGAACCCACCCACTTGTATCTTTATTGCCGAAGGTCGGTCGCCAGCATCGCTGCTTTCCCTGCTGCGGCCACACCGGCCTCTAGTCCTGGCTCCTCCTCCGTCGGGGACTCTGCATTTGCGAGCTTCTGCCGGAAGGGTCTTCCCCTGGCCGGCCCCTTCTCATTCATCAGGCTCCCCCGCTCCTTCTGAAGCCTGGTCTGTACCTGAGATTGTCGTGTTGGTTCCTGAGTCATTTCTTACTTTCTCTCTCCCCCTAGACAGTGAGCCCCACAAGGTGGGGGCCTCCGTCTGCTGTCGCTCATGGCTGTGTCTTTGAGGGAACAAATGATGGATTCTCTGCTGGCTGTGGACCTGGTGATTGCATGTGATGCTTGTCTTGGGGAGGAAACGCTGCTTGGGAGATGACATGGGTGCCAGGGCAGGGGTGAGGGCCGTGGGGGCTGGGCTGGGGGGGGAGGGCTTCTGCAGTTCCCCCCACCCTGGGTGTCCTCATTCTTAATTCCGGGGCTTGCTCTTAGAGCCAGACTGGGTCTCCTCCACTCTTTCTTCGTCCTTGGGCTTCAGGGATTGGCCTTTCCTGCCCCCAAGACAGGCCCCGTGGCTTCTTTCCACCCAGAGTTTCCTACCCATTCTATAGGAAGCATGGGGAGGCCCAGGATCAAGCAGGAGCCGATGGCACTTGCACACGGCCAGGGTTCTCAGCCTTCATCCGTACTACGTGACTTCTGAGCCCCTCGGAGGGATTTCTGCACCCCCCTGTTATCCCTGAGGTGGGCCCTCCCCAGCGCCCTCCATGCCCTGGTTCCTGACCCCTTCCTCCAGGAAGCCCTCCACTCCAGCACAGACACCTGGCCTGCAATCTCAGTGTGTGAGCCCAGGGTCCACTGCAGCACCCCCCCCCACACCGCCCCATTCCTCAGGCGGATCACTGGCATTCTGGCCACCTCACCGGGCCAGCGCGTCCTTCGGGAGCCCCCAGAGTGAGGACCAGACCTCTCCTCTTCTCCTCCCGGGCCCCTCCCTCCAAGCTGAGCCATTTCTCCTTCAGTTCCCGGGATCTGAGGTCAGACAGACCTGGGTGTAAGCCTCCACTGTCTTAGTGTGAGCCTCCCCCAGCAGACCTTGCGGTAGGGATGGGGGCGTGCGTGATGTTAAGGAGGTGCAGGGTGCACAGAAGGAAGGCGGCCAGCCCCGGGAGGGCTGCGAAACCCACTACCCGGATCTGTTCACCCTGCAGGGGACCAGGCCAAACACAGGCCTGGAGCGAGCCCACGCAGGGAGCTCCCCAGGCACTTCCCTCCTTCTGTGATCGCAGAAGCCCCCTGGCACTGCCCTCCTTCTGTGATCGCAGGTAGGGGAAGCCCCCTGGCACAGAGACGCAGATACCGGCAGCCGCAGGGCACTGAAACTTCGCTTCCCACAAGCCCTGAGACAGCAGGCACGGACAGCGTCTGCTTGAACTGCTCTGCCACAGGTGGCCAAGCTGTGTGACCTTGAGCAAGCTACCCCACCTCTCTGAGCCTTAATTTCCTCAACTGCAACATGCTCGGGGTCAGCAAGCATATGAGGTCAGGCATGAAAGGCCCTTGGTAGGGGGGTGAGGTGGGCATCCGGCGGGCTTAACTGAGATGCTGCCATCTTCACTTTAATCTCACGTTGGCTCCCTCTTCTTCCGTCTGGAACAAGGCCCTCTCTCCTTTCGCCTCCCTTCGCTTTCTGGTCCAGACATTTGTTTTCCTAATGGGTGCCCTGGATTCTGCCGAGGGCATCCCCCACAGCCAGGTAGACGAAGACAGTGCACTCTGGCTGCCACATGCCTCCACGGCCCAAATCTTGCCCACTGTCACCTCCCGTCGAGCCCGGAGCTGTCCTCCCTTCCGGACAACCCAACTTGCACCTGAGCTGTGGTTCGCCTGCCTGCCCTTAGGCACCCAGCGTCCCTCTCGCTTTCCCAGCAGCCCACCCCCATGGCGAGAGGGCCACGGCCGCCGCGTGCAGAAGACTTGCTACGGCCCAAGGTGCCGGGCCTCGGTTTCCCCATCTGCGGTGTGTGTCTGCGGGAGCGAGCAGGGGGTGCGGGGAGAGGCGGGCCTGGCTCATCTCCGGGGTCCCCCTCTCCGCGGATGGCCCACGAATCTGTAGCGCGGGCTACCGCAGACGAGGCCACTTACGGGCAGGGTGTCTCTCGTGGCGACAATCTAAGTGAAGGTCCTCCTCCTCGAGCCCATCCCCCTTCTCGAACCTGGAAAGAAAAGGACCCAAAAGCCTGCGTAAGAAAGAGCGAGCTGAGTTGGCAGAGACCCAGGACCTGAACAAAGGTACAGTCCTTTCCCCTCGAGAACAACTGTGCAAAGTAACTCTGTGCCACCCACCCCCCCCCCCCCCGCCCCGTGGGAGCCTTCCCGCAACCCCCTTAGATGGGCGTCATTATCTCCACTTTGTCGACGGGGAAACGGAGGCACTGGATGCTAATGAGACCAGTCAAGCGCCACCAGCTAATAAGTCAGAGGCGGAGCAGGGACACCAACCCACGTGTTCTCACAAAAAGACGTTCCGTTATGTGCAAACGGGACACGACAAAAGACTGCACACAGTTTGATTTAAAAATTATACACCGGGACGCACAAAAGATTATTTGGCAGAATCTATACCAAAAGGCTAACAGGAACTAACCCTAGATAATGAGAATATAGGGATTAAATCTGTAGCCTTATTTTTGCTTCCGTCTATTTTGTGACTTGGGGCCAATGGACTCCTATCAGCTGGGTCTCTTTTCTTCACTAAATCAAAGCACTTCCTCGAGGCATGTCTACGCATAAACAAAGCCCCGGCCCTCTGATTTCTGGCACAGAAGGCTTGGAAGGTGGCTCCTTCCCACCAACGTGTGTGGCTGCCTTCTCCCCTGGCATCTCAGGATCACTGCAGCTCCAGAGGGGGCTGGCATTGGTGTGGCAGAGATGCGAAGCACGGAGCAGAGGCTGACGAGGGTCTGGTGGGGGCAGCTGCACAGGGAAACCCTCACCCCTGGCCCAGCACTGCTTGGGCCCGAGACTGGGCAGGGCCGTGTTCCCACATTGCGCTCGGCTCTTTGTAACCCAGATAAATTGCAGAGCTCCGCCTGGTCCAGTCCAGAGGAGCATCACCCTTCCAGGAGCACAGTCTGGTCCCCAGAGGTAGACACAATTCCAATCATCATCGTGTCGCCCGTGGCTGTACGTTTCGATATCTTTCCTCAATTCCTTTTTGCCTTTCACTTGCTCTGCACTCCTCCACTCGCCTCCTCTTTGCACTGACACCCTCGTTTCTCTCATGCAGGGACGTCTCCGTCCTCTCCCAGGCAAATGCTCCGCCCCTGTTTTCGGATTCCTCCTAGCGCGTCTTACGTCTAGTTGCCCAGTGTGTCCAGACGCGTGGGGCTACAGAAGGAGACATGGGAAGGTGATGAATGACCAGCAAGCCATGCCAGACGCCTAGTAGAAGGGACAGGAACACTCATGCACTGATCATTGTGGTTCCCTCGGACTGCTCATCCATTCATTCATTCATTCACTCAACAAGAACTTCCAAAGGACCTGCTCTGTGTAATCTACACCAGATGCTGGGTGCACCACAGAAGTGCCTACGTCACTTCACAGTCTCTGCCCTCAGAGAGCTTCTGATCGGGTAGGAAGGCAGCTCGCACACGAGTCAGAAAATGACAGGTGTTGCGGCGCCTGCTGACGCAGTTAAGTGTGTGTTAAGCATCTGACATTGGCTCAGGTCGTGATCTCGCGCCCTGACTTCGAGCCCCGCATCGGGCCCTGTGCTGACGGCTCGGAGCCTGGAGCCCGCTTCGGATTCTGTGTCTCCCTCTCTCTCTGCCCCTCCCCCGCTCCCTCTCTGTCTCTCTCTCTCTCTCAAAAATAAATAAACATTAAAAAAAGAAAGAAAAGAAAATGACAAGTGTCGTATAACGGCACCCAAGATTGCCCACTGTACTGAGGGGCTAGGCCTATGCTCGCCAGGGAGCAAACTGTGAACACAGTTTTTGTCGTTGTTGTTGTTGTGTTTTGTTTTTTTAACAAATATTTTGTAGGGCCTGGATGGTTCCAGACAGCAGAACAAAGCCCTAAGTGTTAACGCTACAGGAAGGCAGATATCATCGGCAGATAGCCTCGTCAATGCTATGAGAAGGTTCCATACAAGAAAAAATGTCCTTCTTTTCTTTTCTTTTCTTTTTTCTTTTCTTTTCTTTTCTTTTCTTTTATTTTCTTTTCTTTTCTCTTCTCTTCTCTTTTCTCTTTTCTTTTCTTTTCTTTCTTTTCTTCTTTTTTTTCATCCCTAGTAGAAGCATCTTTGTTATTTTCCTGATAGCACAGGCTTATTCCAACAACTATAACTCCCACACAATAGAGCAAAAGTCCCCCTGTAATGACACCTCCGTGTAATGGGATCACCACTATTAGGAGTTTAGTGTATATCTTTTCAGAACTCAACTTTTCTTTTTTAACATATAGTCTCAAATTAAACATGCTTTTGTAACCTGTTTTCTTACCCACAAAAATCTCCAACATCTTTCCACGTCAGTACACGTAAACCTCACTCGTCTGTTTCCTCATATTGTATGTGAAAGAACAGTTAACATTCAGTCCCCTACTGACAGATATTTAGGGGTTTGTCCAGTTTCTCACGCTTCTAACCTGCAAGATGCTAAGCCCCCATCCCCAGAGGTAATCAAGGAGGGACTATCACCATTTGTGAAACTCAAACGCTGGATGGAGGCTGGACCGTGTAGCTGAGCCCATCCCTGTCCCAGAGGGCCATCTTTCTGGCCATGTCCAGTGACTCTGGGTCAACAGATGCCTGCCCCGTCATGTAATGGGCCTTGAACATCCTCCTGCGTTTCACAGCCTTAACCTTGAACCGATTGTTCATCTACCCCAGGCTCCTAGTTCTCACGGCTTCTTATCTTCTGAGATCATTCTTCACCAGGCCTCATGCTGTGCACCTCTCCTTGGGCTCTGCCGGGACCCTCAGCCCTGGGGAGAGGGGTCAGTGCGCCAAGGAGCTGGTGTCTAAGGAGAGAACCGGCCCCACCCGGTATGGTCCCTCCTCTCCCTGGTCACCCAAACCTCCAGGCCAAGAAGCTCAAAGTGCAATAGTTAACATATCAAAGAACACCTGCCAATTAGTGAGCATTTGCTGGGGCCAGGCCTTGTGCTGGGCTTGGGGGCCACAGGTACCACTCAGAGGGGCCTCTGCCCTTAAGCTCACGTTAATCCTGACTTAAAATGCTAAGTTCTAGGCTAGATAATGTTCATTCAGAAGGTTGGCAGGGCGGACAACTGCCTAGACCAGGTGTTGGCAAACTTCTTCTGTAAAGCTCTGGGTAGTAAATAGTTAATACGTGAGGCCTTTCTGGCCATACGGTCTCTGTCCCGACTACTCAACTGCCCCTGTAGTTTGAAAGCAGCCGCAGACCATGTGTAAACCAATGAGCGTGTTGTTTAGTAGGTTATTTACAGCAAGTGGTGGGCGAGATTTGGTTTTCGGGAGACAGTGTGTTAACCCCTGGTCTTAACAAGGGTTCTCCACTTGGAGGCCCACCGAAGTCACCCTGGGAGGTTTCAATCACCAGGCGACACTAACGCACAGCCAGGGCTGAGAACCACCTGTTGGGACCAGCAGAGGCTGCGTCGAGGGGGCCCGCCCGCACCTGCCACTGGAGCCGCATGCTGGAGGCCACGGGACCCGCTCACTTCTCAGACAGGGAGCTGGACTCACACAGGTCTGCCTGTCTCTCTGCTGTGCCGTGTGGCCATTCTGGAAAGAGCTGGTTTCCTTGCTCCCACACAGCCCTCTCTACCCGAGTCGTCCATGCAAGTAACAGATCTGCGGGCCCTCGTGAGGGGCTACGGCGTGGCAGCAGTCACGGCACGGGCTGATGGCCCTCCCATAGCCCCCCAGTGCTTCCCAGCAGGAAACACGTGAGGACGAGGGGATGCTTGGGGCACGACTGAGCCCTGCGCCCTGCGGCGAGGAGGGATCGCGGCCGACGGCAGCCCTATTAGCAGGCAGCGTGGCCTTGTGCGGCTCACCTGGATCCCGTGGTCTAGCGGTTTCTACGTGGCAACGGGCACACAGGGGTAAGCATGACAGTAAAGACAAGCACACCGCCCCGCTGGCGAGTGCGGAGCCCGGAGCCTGGCACCGACGCAGTGAGGACGCCAGACAGGTTCACCACCCCTGCTCGCAAACCTGCTTAATCGTTCTTCCCCGGTACGCTTTGGAGTCCGAGAGAAGAGGATGCCGTCTCGCTCATTCCCCACTCGGAGGCCTCAGGGTCTAGCCGAGCGTTTGGTTAGCCGGGAAGGAAGGGAGAGAGGAGGCGCGCAGACGGCCCGAGGCTGAGATCAGCCCACGTGGGGAGCATCCAAGGTGCTGAGTGGAAAGGAGAGAACTTTCCACCGTGCGGAAAGGACAGAAACAATGGCTAACGGCACCAGGTGACAATTACATTTGACCTGACCTGTGATGTCCTGGAGGAAATATGATGTGCTTTCTGAAGACAGGCTTTTTTTCTTTTTTAAACGGTGGTGTGAGAAATTACCCACAAATCCCAGTAAGGGCCTTGATGGGGAAATGGGAGGTGCTGGGACCGAAGCAGTGCTCAGAAGGGCGGGCGGCGGGT